AAAGAACAGTTAAAAAATTAAACGAGAATAGTAGGGTTGATTTACACGCAAATAACTATCATTCATGTCCAGAAGCTAGGCTTAAGTTTAGGGTACAGGTAGATTCGTGTTACTGATAATTATAGACGACGTATACCTAAGAGGTTAGGCATTGAGGCAATTTAAGGGGAAAAAGCTTTCCCCTAAATCTTGAATAGAATTCATTATTAAGAAAATTAACTCGGTTTCTCCTTTCTCACGAAATTTATCCATTACTTTTAGTGTTATTCTTCAGCTCACAATCATTGGCGCGATTGTTTGGTTTGGGGTTTTATACGTTCACTTAATCAATGCATGATGCTACATTTATTTATTTAAAGGGAGAAAAAACTTGGCATAATATGGCACCAAGAAAGATGCGCCACACAATAATAATAAAACAATATATATTAAAAGTAAAAATATAAGTAGAAAACGGATAAAGAACTTCATCTGGAAGGAAAAGTCATACTTCCAAACAAGTTCAAACAGTATTCGTTAACTATCATCAGGAAGGGAAGAAAGAAGGAAATTGCAACACGTTCGCCATTGATTACGATTCTTGGCCATATCCGATAACGTTTCGAGCCATCGATTTGAGCTATCACTCACACCCCATCCAAGGAGTCGTGACACACCAACCGATGCTAATCTAACACAAACATCCTTCATCCCACGACGCCACGTCATGGGCTGACCACCTCTCCGCCTTTTCCATCCCGTCCCAGGGCTAGCGAACAGAGACCTGTACGGAAGCCTCTGGGATGACGTTCGCAGCACATGTCCAAGCCACCGGAGCTGGTGTTTCCAGATGACGACACTCAATGAATGGTGATCTCCACTGTGTTCAAACACAGGCCGCCTAACCTCAGAATTACTCACGCGATGATGCCATCGAACGCAAGCAATCCTGTGGAGACAGCGATGATCGAACACGCTGAGTCGCCGCACATCCTCAGCTTGGAGAGGCCAGGTTTCACAGGCGTAGAGCAGGACAGCCCGCACCGAAACATTGTATACCCGACCTTCTACAGCCAGGCTAACGTCGCGACGACGCCAGAGGTGGCTCAAGTTGATGTATGCCACCCTAGCATTGAATTTTCCTTTTCACCGATGTATTCTTTAGGTGTTGTGTTAATATCTCACTGATGTCATCCCCGAGGAACTGAAGTTTTAAAAACAAGGCTTTCCTTTTTCGGAACTGTTGGAACTTTAGCCTGCCTGCCTGCCCTCCTGCCTTGACTTTTGATTCTCACATATTCTTATCGATGAATTTTTCTGGGCAACTGACCAGTTGATGTAGGTTTTCCATATACACTTCTTTCTCTTTTTCTTCTTATTGTACCGTCCTTTCTTCTAGTCAGGAGGATTTCTAGGAATGGGAAAAATAGTAGTCTTTTTCTTTCTTTCTTTCTCGATGGTAAAATTTATTGGTTATAGGACTTCATCATGAGCTGACATTAGTTAGAGAACCATTAGAAAACCTAGGAATACTGGACAGCTGTTTCGTCCTAGTTTGGGACTCTTCATCAGTACGCACCTACCGGGATTCGAACCCAGGACCTTCTGGTTACAAGGTGAACATCGTTAACTTCCTTGTCAACAAGAATGTCCTTTGCTTCATCCTCACTTTTCATAATCAAGAATGTGTCACATCCATGTATCTACTGACAGTAGAATTCTAGTCCATCAGTTTTGCCAGGAGAATGTGGGCTAGAATAGGTCCTAGTGGTGACTCCATTGCCACACTATCAATTTTTCTGTATAGTTGCTTATCGAATAAAAAGTGAACATTCATTTTACGTTTCAAAAGAAGGTCTTTTATTAAAGATATATGAATGCCGACATTGATTTTTCGTCTTATGAGTTCTTCGCATACATACAGAGTCTACTGTTTCCATAAGTCGTACACATTGGGGAATAAGGAAGATATATTAAATGATTTCATGAATTTATTGTTAACGTTTAAATCTTTTATCCTTTCAGCAAATCTGAAGTTGCTTTTTTGCGCTGTGTTTCACCGATTCAGTATGTAGAGGATGTAAGAGTTCACCTCCATTATGGATAAAATTTTATTTCGATAAAGTTACACACAGTGGTGTTATACAGTAAGTAATATTTACTGACGATAACCACGTTTCGAGCACAATTCATCACTGCAGCTCATAATCATCATATCAAGACATTACTCACACAACTTTCTTGCTTCATTTATATACATGAGTAGGAATTGATTAGACATATGAATAAAATCAATATGAGATGAGATACACTCAGAAATAATATTAGTGTTACCGGTAAAATACAATAAGATGGGAAACAAGATGTTTTTATAGTCAAAATAAGTAACTTGTTATAATATTATAATGTGAATTGAATACATTTTAACATTATTTATTATCTTCTGATTTGACTGGTAATAATATCTTCCATATCTCTGGTATTTGCATTGAGTCACTTCTATTGCATGTGTTGGGTGTAGATTATTCGACGAACAAGGCTTCGGTAATCGATCTCTCTGTCTCTCCACCTACATAGATTACTTTTTAGAATTTTGAGTCTGTCCCACCCTCTTGTATGGTTGTGTGTTAATGCGTCCAGTGCTATTGCTGAGCTTTTTTCTAAATTACTTATCTTCTCGGGGTCAACCATTCTTACCTTAGGAAAATTCTTATGTTCCAACACTCTGACTACTTGCACCCAATCTACTCGTTTGAATGACCTATGTAGTTGACTTCACTCACAGTCATGCAAAGGTATTTTCTAAATTATATTATTTTGTTTAATTGGGTCCACCGGGTCCATTAGTCTACACAGATTGTCCCTGAGTTAGTAAGTGAGTTTGTAGGTTTGAATGCAGCTCTAATTCCTGCTTTATTAAAAACCCTACGTAGGGTCGCAGATGTCCCCTCCTTATGTGATAAACTGTAGATGCCTTATATTCTTTATTACTTATGTTGTCACTATTAGTTTCACCACTATTTTTACTTCGCTTTTGACCTGTTTTGATATTTCTAATGAATTTTATAGGATAGTTAGTTATTTAACACCAACCAGGTATTCTCCTATCTGTTTAATTTCATCAAGTAGGTTTTTTGTTGTACTACTTAGTGCTACTGCTTGGTTTCTTAGACACTTAACAACTAAGACTGCCTCCACAGAAAGACGACGGATAAGATGAATTAAAGTCTAAATGTCGCCTAACAAAATGCGTTGGCTTTTTATAAAGGCTAAGGTGCAGTTTACATTCTTCTGTTCGTTTTATTTTACAGTCTAACATAGCTAATTCTCCTTATTGATTTTCCGATTCAAATGTGAATTTTATTCCCTTTACTAATGCGTTTATATGTGTGAAGAAACTGGAGGTATATTCTGGTTTTAACACTGTGTGTGAAAGTGTCATCCACATATATCTTCACCATATTTTTGGAGTAGGATTAATTGTATCAAGAGCAATATTATCCCAGATGTCCATAACTATATCCGCCACGAAAGAGGATATTGGTGATCCATCCGGTTGCTACACCTTCTGCTTGTCTATATATTATACCCTGGAATTTAAGGACACTAGATGTGAGGCATAACTGAATTCCTAAATATTTTTCTCAATGGGTAGTTTTGTCCTTTGACTAAGTTCGGGATCAGCGGTTAGTTCTCTTTTAACAGCTTCTAAGGCTGCCAAATTGATTGGTATATCAGTGTAAAAACTAGTTATACCGAAACTAACCATTTTTTCATTATTCTCTAATTGGATATCATTTATGAATTAGTTAGCCTAGTAAATATTACTGCATAACATCATTGTGGGTAACGTTTTCAAAATAAAATTTTATTTATAATTGTGGACTGGATTATGCGTTGGACAGTGGGAAACGAAAAGACAGGAATATCCTGGACCGACGTGAAGAACCTAGAAGACCTGGATTTCGCAGATGATTTATGTTTGATGTCACACAAAATCAAAGACTTACAAGCGAAAACCGACCTACAAACTGGTCGAAGAAGCAGCCAGAGAAGACAGGACTCCAGGTGAACATAGACAAGACGGAGGTTATGAAAATAACCAACCAACAACAACAACAGCAGCAGCAACATCCAGCACCAATCACTATCAACGGGAGGGATTTGAAAAAGGTTACTTCATTCACTTATCTAGGGACCATTGTCTCAACTACAGGAGGAACGGACGATGTCGAATCGAGAATCGGGAAGGTGAGAAACACATTCATCAACCTCAAACCAATCTGGAAATCTTCGTCGCTCAACATCAACAACAAAATTCGGATTTTCAATACAAACGTCAAGTCAGTCAGTTCTTCTATACGGATCAGAAACTTGGCGGGTCACAAAGAATATTTCCAACAGCCTGTTGCAGACCTTTGTCAACAACTGTCTTCCCTGGCTCTATACTGAAGATCAGATGGCCACCGGAAAGAATCACCAACAAGGAAATATGGGAACAAACAAAACAAGAACCAGTCGCCCAACAAATATGTAGGAGAAAGAAGTGGAGATGAATAGAACACTCGCTGAGGAGGCCACCGGGTGACATCGCGCGTCAGGCCATTGCTCGAGTGGAACCCGAAAGGGAAGCGGCGAGTGGGGCGTCCAAGGGTGACATGGAGGAGATCGTGTGAAGAGGAGTTGAAACAGTATGGATTAACATGGGTGCAGGTGAAAAGTACAGCAGAAGATAGAAGCAAGTGGAGACGTGTAGTTGAAGCCCTATGTTCCACTAGGAACCCAAGGGAACAATAATAATAATATAATGGAGTTATACTCTATCACAGTGCCCACGTTTTATCCTTACAGCTGTAGGAGTTTGACTAACCAGTAGCACTTACTTACCAGATTTGATCAAAGGACCTGTATAATTCAGGAATCGTGAATCACATCACCTAAACTGAATTTCTCACAAGTAACAACAAAAAACACCCGAGCGTAAACAGAGAAAACAAACAAACAAGCAAACACCAATTTACCATCTGTATGTGATAAAAACATTTCATCCGATGTATAATAAGGTTCATGTTCCGGTGATCCACTGGCATTAATTAAATCAGGATAAGCAATCATCTGGAATGGCATTAAACTTTGTACAACACCAGTGAAATTTAAGTATTCAGTTGCAGACTTGGCCATAATATTTGTCAGGGTATCATCTTGATTTGCTGCATTCTTCTCGTCTTGTTTATATGCATCAATCGTTGTCGTCCTCGTCGCCGTCATCGTAGAACTATTACCAGCAGTGGTAGTAGTAGTAGTATGATCAGATATTTTGGATTGTGAAGTACGACTGGACACTGAGAATACATCGATAAACAAAAAAACGTTCATCATCAACATGAACACTATTCAAGAGTTGGTTTGTAGGTATTTGATTCTGATTCCAGTTTCCTAACTGACTGATATCAGTGAGAGAACCATTGAAAACCAATACTAGAGTAGTGGATAGCCAGTCGATTTGTCAGCCTAGTTTGGCGGTCATATGCAGTACGCACGCACCACAGGGATTCGTACTCGCAACCTTCTAGTTACAAGGCGAGCCAGCTCGTAGATCATTCGGCCAAAGGGACCCGACTCAGTGGCCAGCTCATGAATTCTAACTTCTACAATTTCGTTATTTTAGCGTGACTGGCAAAAGCCAATGTCATCGCTGGCGGGCATTTGTCCTCACTCCCGACCGGTTGGTAGACCCTACACTGGTCATGACTCCAGGAAAATCCGTTCTGTAGCCAGTCACTAGTGATGTTAGAATTCATGGGTTGGTGATTGAGTCAGGTCCCAGTCACTGAATAGTCCATGAGCTTGGATTGTGAGTGGGAGGTCCTGAGTTCGAACCCCTGTGGTTGGCGCGTACTGCCGATATGTTTCAAACTAGGCTGACGAAACAGTTGGCTGTGCTAGTTTTCAAAGGATCCCTAACTGATATTGATCCGTGGTCGTCTGTGAAAAATAAATACATACATAAGGTTAAAACAAACGGAGGAAATAACCCCTTTAGACATTTTTCAGTAGTTACTCAGTTTACAAGAGTAAACTAAGATTTTTTGTTGTTGATTTGTTCACGTTACATAACAATTAAGTTCACGGACTGTGTCAAAAATCGCTGATCATAAGTGAATCAAATGTTGGTGATGATGATGAGTGGTATTTAACCTATGAGGGATATCAACAAAGAGTGTTACACAACAGTAGTTTTATGCATGTCTGTGTGTAGAGTGACCACTAAAGCAGAGTTATGAGTTGAAAAGAATCGATGCACACTGATATGTACGAACCAATGTTAAGCAATTAAATATTACATTTCGGCAAATTCTTGCAGTGAATAATCCCTTTTTGGTTGATAATGGCCAGTAATGGAATCCAAGGTACACCTTTCATCTTATTTGGGACCCGTCAGCTGCGTGCACCATTATAACAACAGTTTTAAAATAACAGATAAGAATGCATTAGGAAACATACTCAGACTTTAACCTAGGATTTTTAAGAAAATTTTCGCTATATCAACCTCTTCACCTAGAAAGAACACCTTTCTTCAGTTGCAAATTTTCAAAGTCGACTGGAGTCACATCTTTGAGTTCGTTTACAATTAAATCAAAGCTGAAATGTAAGATTAAGCATAATATTATTTATGATTATTATTACCTTGGGTTCCGACTGGAACATATGGCTTCAACAACACATTTCCACTTTATTCTGTTTTCTGCCGTTCTCCTCATCCGGGTCCACGATTCCCCATAATCTATCACCTCACTTCCTCACACTATCGCCTCCACGCCACCCTGGTACTGACGATCTGCTCGTCGTTCCCCATTCGAACTCTACTAGACAGATGGCCTACATTGCGTGCAATATCATTCGACGGCCTCGTTAACCTATGCCCGATCAACCCACCTCCATTTTTTCCTGCATATTGTTTGAGCGATAGGCTTTTCGTTGGTTTGTTCCCAGTCAGAGTTTCTTGTTACTAATTCTTTCTGGCCATTATATCTTCAGCACGGAGCCAGCGAGGGCAGGTGTTTATGAAAGTCTGCAACCTGTTGGAAATCCTTTTCGTTACACGCGTTACAAGTTTCTGACCCATAAAAATGAACCGACTTGACAATGGTGTTGAAAAGACAAATTTTGTTCTTTATGCTGAGTGTAGGAGATTTCCAAACTGGTTTTAGATTGATGAAGATGTATCTTGACTTTCAAATCTACTATGGATTCGACATCTTCATCCGTTCCGTCTGCCTGTAGTTGAGACGATGTTTCCTAGATAAGTGGAGGAAGTAGCCTCTTTCAAATTTCGTCCACTGATGGCGATTGGTGCTGGTTGTTGCTGTTGGTTGGTTGGTTGGTTATCTTCATCACTTCCGTCTTTGTTATGTTCACCTTCAGTCCTGTCTTCGCTGAAAGCCTCTTCTGAAAGTCTGTTGGTCTCCGCCTGTAAGTCTTCGAGTTTATGTGACATAAGACATATATCATCTGAGAAATCTAGATCTTCTAGAGTCTTCTTATCGGTGGTCCAGCGTATTCCTCTTTCCTGGCTCCCAAGCACACTCTGACGCATAATCCAGTCCACCTTAATTAAGAATATTATCCGTGATGACAGCCAAACAGCCTTGTCTTACTCCCGCATTCACTTCGAACGCCACGCTGAGTTTTCCGTTGTGAATCATCTAACACGTGGCAATGTCATATAACAAGCTGTTGAATGAGATTAGGCATAATAATGAACACTAATGATTGTCTACAATCCAAATAACAATTATGGATAAAGAGAATCAGGCGTGCTAGATATTATGTGTTCATTATGGTACAAGGAACTAACAGACCTGAATTTATATTAAAAGGTGGAAGGAAATTGACTGAAAGAATCCGACACTTGTCAGCAAAGAGTATCAGCAACTCTGAAGGAATTGATGCTCTATTTCATTATCTTTTATAGTTAGTTATCTTCATTCGTTGAGTATTCAGTGCAACATAAGGCTTGAAGCTTTGAATTTTAACAGAATGAAGGTGCAAGTTTGATTTTCCCGTTGACTGATCGGACCGTAATGTCCGTCCTCTATTGAAATGTCAGCTCCTAGTACGGACGCTTCGACAATATCGGAAGATTAACTTGAAAAGATTTTGGTAACTGATACCTGTTGCACAAGAAAGAGATGGTTGTCTCATAGTCTGAATGGTTAAGTGGATAACGCTTCGGCTTTTCCAATGAGAGGCGCTGGATTCGAATCTCGGTCGGGACACATCATCACTCACTGGGGAATGAAGGTATATCCAACTGACAAGTCTCATATTGAATGAAGTCCGCATCCTGGATTCCACTGTTAGTCATCCACCATCCACAAAAATAACATCAAATAATAAAAAAGATAACTGATGAGATATTCAGTCGGTTCTAATAAAACTAAAGGATAAAAAGTTTTATAAAGGCTCACTTTCATATAACCAGTTCACAGAATTCATATCCAATGGTTTTTTAACCTGTTCCTTCTTCAATTTATTAGGCATTTCCTGCAAAATATTAAAAAATACACACATAATTCTTCATCAGTGAGTATCAGTCAAAGTGAAAACAAGATAACCTTAATATTAGGAAAAGAGAATGCCTAATCATCAATGTTTTCGTTGAAATGTGTTTATATGTGGCGTGTACTACTGATAAGATTTTTCAGTAGTATATATATAAGGAGAGATGTTCATAAGCATAAAACATCGAATAGCAGGGAGACAGATTTCATGTCAGAGAAAGCAAATGATACAGCGTTGCGCAGACAAATGGCAGATGTGAAATGAACATTAAAAAACACAATATAAAGGGAGGAGAGAAGTAGCACAACACGGAAGATCAGTACAAACGGTTCGTTGAAGGTGAGGTATTCATAATTTGGCCATATGGAGATACCAAATTCAAAAGAAAAACTCGTTAGGTAGGAGAATTTCATCATGGGCTGACATCTGTAAAAGAACCATTGGAGAACTACGAGGGAGTACTGGACGGATGTTTCAGTAGGCGGAAAACGCCAAAATTCGAACGCAAGACATTCTGGTTGCAAGGCCAGTTCGTGGACTATTAAGCAAGTGGGACCCGATCCAATGACTACTCCATGAATCCCAACTTCTGCCAAATCACCAGGTAACGCGACGATCAGCCTATGTTATCTGCGGGTATTTGTCCTCACACCCGATCTGCTGCACCCTACTGGTCACGAATTCCCACTCATGATGAAATCCTGTAACCAATCAATCAAATCCTTACAAATCAATACTTGAATATCACTGAGATGTTCACTAGCGACTGGCCCTATTCGGGTAAGTAGTTACCTGGGTTCTAGTGGGAAGTTGTGACCACTGGGGAACACAGCAGGTCATCAGGTGTGAGGACAAATACTCGGCAAAGACATTGGCTAGCGGTCACAGTATGTCGTGAATTGGCAAAAGTTAGAAATCATGGACCATTAGATCTGGCCCCAGTGGATTAATGGTCTACTACCTCGCTAGCCTTGTAACCAGTAGGTCCTGGGTTCGACCCTGCCGGTGGGAGCGTACTGATGAAGCGTCCCAAACTGGCACGAAACAACCCTCCAGTACTCCCTTGTGGTTTTCCAATGGTTCTCTAACCGATGTCAGCTCATGATGAGATCCTCCAACCTATCTCACAAAATCCCTACACAAAAACCAATACTTTAAATATTCGTTAATCAATTCTCTCGTCTTCTAGCGTTACATATATATTACCAAGCATAAAACTATCACCAAGACTGCTGGCTAGGAATATGGTTAGTTGGCTTCAACATACAACCTTCAACCTATGGGTCACCTATGAGAATTTCGTTCCATCTACGAAGTTTTGGGAGTAGTTTGAGTAGTATCATCAAGCAATACGCAGTGGGATGTGGCTAATAGCTAAGTAGTTGTTCAATAACATTTTGCATATCTTCAACGGAGTAGATGTTCAGGTATCTTTTTAATAACTGAATAAATATTGAACAAGAATGAGGGTAGAGGACACCTGGACGACTGAATATATACGCGCTAACCATGTCAAACTGTGGTGAGAGCTGTCTACTAGCCAAGTGGTGGACAGTAATTGAGGTCAATGTTTATGTATCAAATATTAGTCATGTTGTGGTGAGAGATGGTTGCTGGCCTAATTGGTTAACAGTAATTGAGGTCAAAGGTCAAGGTGGACAGGCGGTTACAGTTAACATATAGATGAACTGACACAGCCACAAGAGATGCAAGGTTAACCTTGTGTGAGAAACAACCAATCAACAGACTGTATTTTCTACTAACATTGACCTACAATAATGTACATAAAAATCTATAAATACGTGTTGATTTTTCGTAATAAACGATCTGTTGCTTGGCCCTTGTCTTCTGTTGTTACATTTGGTGTCGCTGCCTACCGACAAATGGAAAGCCTATGCCCTGCAGTTTTTGATGGAGACATATGGATCTTCGGGCAGGACTTCGAGGCTTCTTCGCAGTTGAGTGGCGTTCAAGATCTGTCAGCGATGAGGCTGCTACTTGGGACGCTGCTGGGAGGTCGGGAGAAAGCAGCATATGGAAGTGTGAGGCGAAATACCTACGAATGTGCGACAGGGTCAGGCAAACAGTTTCCAAAGTGGGAAGGACCATATATGGTCACGTTGAGATGGGGTTATGCAGACACAATCGCAATGGTAAACACCGTTAAACAAGTGGACAGCCGCAAGCGCCGAGATTCCAGACAGCAAGACAACAGAGCAAAGCCCCAAGAACCGAGAAGACCGAGCCGACTTCAGTCCAAACTATTTGACGGGGGGACGACTGTGGTGAGAGCTGTCTACTAGCCAAGTGGTGGACAGTAATTGAGGTCAATGTTTATGTATCAAATATTAGTCATGTTGTGGTGAGAGATGGTTGCTGGCCTAATTGGTTAACAGTAATTGAGGTCAAAGGTCAAGGTGGACAGGCGGTTACAGTTAACATATAGATGAACTGACACAGCCACAAGAGATGCAAGGTTAACCTTGTGTGAGAAACAACCAATCAACAGACTGTATTTTCTACTAACATTGACCTACAATAATGTACATAAAAATCTATAAATACGTGTTGATTTTTCGTAATAAACGATCTGTTGCTTGGCCCTTGTCTTCTGTTGTTACAAAACTACCAAAGAAATAAGAATAAAACTTGGGCACTGTGGTAGAGTGTAATTCCATTATGGGTAAATTTTATTTTGATAGAGTCTCACAGTGTTATACAGTAATATTTACTGATGACGTTTCGAGCACAATTTATTGCTCATAATCATATCATATCATATCATATCATATGATTATGAGCAATAAATTGTGCTCGAAACGTCATCAGTAAATATTACTGTATAACACTGTGAGACTCTATCAAAATAAAATTTACCCATAATGGAACTACCAAAGAAAGGCAAATTAAGCCGAACCGATTTATTGAAAGTAACACGAAACATAAGCAATATAATCTGGTCACCGACTCAGTTCCAAAGAAAACCTTATTCATGAACTTGGAATTCAAAGGTGATCAAGCTTCAGATATGCTCAAAAACCATCTCTCTAAACCAGTCAGTAAGGTGTTCTTTGCAGCAAAATTGCAAATGACGTTCACCAGCCGCAAGTTGTTTTCTACCTCTGTAAAAGATAAGCTCCTCCGTCTGGTCGCCTCTATGTGCATCTATCAATTCACCTGCTCTTGTGTAGCAAGGTACATTGACCGTAGCCAGAGGGCACCGCTTTCCACACGGATACGAGAACATATTCCAGCATGGTTTTACAAGGGAGAAGCGAAGTGTATGAGAAGCTCTATTCTAGAACACGTGATCGACTCCTGTCACTCTGCCAACCCTGACCATGATTTCAAGATCATATATAGAATTCATTTTAACTTGCCGCGTTTTCTTCGTTACAGACTTTTAAAGACAGTGGAGGCCTTGGCAATTCATGACTTTAAGCTAGTTAGAAGTGAGAAAATAGACTTAGGTCAAGTTAAAAAGACATATTCAAGGTTGAAATAACAATGAAGACCACTAAACCAAATAGCAGAGGTAATAGTACATCTGCTATGCTATCAAAAAAAAATTTACCAAGGAAGTTTTAATGTGATGACGAATTGTTTTTAAACGCATAAGGGTGGCTTAAACTTTCTAATTTCTAGGGCTTCCACAAACTTTAGGATATGCCCCAAACACGTTTTATAGATAGATAGGTTTAAAAGATCTGTTAACGTCAATTTTATGTCCTTTCTCTATAATATGTTTCGCAATAGAAGAGCTGGGTCTCCTGTTATCACCGTTAATAGGTTCGGAAGATTCTATTTGCTTCTGGAGCCATTTAGGAATATGCTCTGAAGCCCTTACTTGTAGAGATCAATGAGTCCTCCCTATGTATGTGAGTCCACACGTACTCGCCCCTAAGAAAGACGTGTACATCAAGCTACCCCATATGGGGCATCAAAGCAGCTTGATAACTAGACAAAGACTGAACGCACAAATATTTTAATTTTGATTGAATTTCATACTGCTATTATTATTTCATGCATTCATACATCTGATCTAATTCCCCCACCGGATATAATTTCTTAAAAACAACCCATATGTATACGATTGTACAGGTTGATAATAAATTCGTTGTTGGAGAGAGTCTCTTCGCTGAAATATTGTGTTCTTAAATTAAGCCTTCTAAGCAATTGGAGCGGAATCATGTTCTTGTCCATTCCAAGAAAAAATATTGAGCCGCCTCATCCTGAGGAGACTAAAAGAATGCTCTGGATGCTACGATAAGCTAGATTCAGCAAAAGCAGACCAAGCTCCAGCGCGACACATCATCATCATTAAAAAGATCACAGAATAACAACCAACTACTACTTACTTCAACTTCATCTAATTTGAAAAGAACTTCAGTAATATCAACCGTGAAGTTATTCAGAAACTTCTTCCTTCAACACTACAGAGTATAACGCCGTAAACATTTACAAACTTCATTCTTCAACAGTTAAATGATGATAATGCCTCATGTCAAGTGATTCACAACAGAAAGCTCAGTGAAGAGTGTGAAGTGAAGACATGAGTAAGACAAGGCCGCCCCTACTATCACCGATAATACTCGTCATTTTGGTCTACTGGATTATGCGGTAGACTATGGAAGGCGAGAAGATGGGCATACGTTGAACCGACGATAAGACTCTATAAAACTTGAATTTCATGAATAATTTATGCCCAATAGTCACAGAAACTCAAATATATCTACAGGTCGAAACCAACAAATCGGCATAAGAGGTTGACGGTGAAGATAGCGTCTCAAGTTAGCAAAGAGATGTCGGACTTTTATTAACAGCTACCTTCTCCCGATAATGAATGTCAGATGGTCAGTCAAAAGGGATATGCAACATGAAACTCTGAAAGGCGATGAATTAACCAAGAACCTTTTGCCCTAGATATATGCAGAAGAAAATGGGGATGAAATCGATATGCACTCAAGAGACTATTGATAGGCATCATATGCTAGACCCTGGAGTGAAGAACCTAGATAAGGATCTACGCGTTGAGCGTCAAATGGTAACATAGAAGAGATCGTGTGAAGAAGAATTGAAGGCTCATGTGCGTCGGTGGCACAGTGGTTAGGACTCTCGCCGACCATGCACATGGTCCCGGGCTCGATCCTCTGCCGACGCACACCCGATATCTATGGTCGGCCTGCAAAATTTGGGCTACCGATATCCATGCTGAAAACTCCATACTTGTACTGAAAATACGGTGTGGCATCAAGCTGTAATCAAAAAAAATATCATGGAGTCAGCTAATAAAGACTTCAAAGAACAGGATGAAATGAGCATGTGCTGCTAAACTGAAGGTTTCGCTCGAGAACCATGGGAATAATAATCAGTAATACAATTGCGAAAGGTATCGAGTGTCGATGTTTCAATGGTTCAGCATACTCGCCAACCACGCACATGCTGCAGGGTTCAATTCCCGGTCGACTAATTTCTAAACTTTTCTTAGTAGGTAGTATGCCCGGTGAATTCTAAAGAAATCTGCAATATGATGCAAGGGCTTCCTGAAGACCGACTCCTAATTAACGTCATATAACTCCAGTATTTTGCATAGAATACTTATTACGCAATCAAACAGTGGTGTTTTTAACAAATAATGTGTCAGACAAAGCTTTTTTTCCCAAATTCATACTACACTAACAGTAGGCTCCTAAAATTTCTCAAGCTCTGAACATTTAAGTATTAGAGATTTCCTGCGGTTGGCGAGCATCTTCTTCCTCCTCAACCATCTATGCACTTATCATTAAAACAAATTAAATCAATATACAGGGATATCCTGGACCGACGTGAAGAACCTAGAATACCTGGATTTCGCGGATGATTTATGTTTGATGTCACACAAAATCAAAGACTTACAAGCGAAAACCGGCATACTGTCGAAGAAGCAGCAAAGACAGGACTCCAGGTAAACATCGACAAGACGGAGGTTATGAAAATAACCAACCAACAACAACAACAGCAGCAGCAACATCCAGCACCAATCACCATCAATAGGAGGGATGTGAAAGATGTTACTTCATTCACTTACCTAGGGAGCATTGTCTCAACTACAGGAGGAACGGACGAGCATGTCAAATCGAGAATCGGGAAGGCGAGGAACACATTCATCAACCTGAAACCAATCTGGAAATCTTCGTCACTCAGCATCAACAACAAAATTCGGATTTTCAATACAAACGTCAAGTCAGTCAGTTCTTCTATACGGATCAGAAACTTGGTGGGTCACAAAGAATATTTGCTACAGCCTGTTGCAGACCTTTATCAACAACTGTCTTCGCTCTATACTGAAGATCAGATGCCCGGAGAGAATCACCAACAATGAACTATGGGAACAAACAAAACAAGAACCAATCGCCCAACAAATATGCAGGAGAAAGTGGAGATGGATTGGACATTCACTGAGGAAGCCGTTGGGTGACATCGCGCGTCAGGCCAGTGCTCGAGTGGAACCCGAAAGGGAAGCGACGAGTGGGACGTCCAAGGGTGAAGGGTGGAGGAGATCGTGTGAAGAGGAGTTGAAACAGTATGGATTAACATGGATGCAGGTGAAAAGTACAGCAGAAGACAGAAGCAAATGGAGACGTGTAGTTGGAACCCAAGGGAACAATAACAATAATAATAATAAATCAATATACAAATAAAATCACCAACCACTTACCCCTGGAAGATCAAACCATTCAGGGAAAAATTTTAAATGACTTGATATTAAATCTTCAAATGATTGTTGAATAAAAGTCGACTGTGTCGGCATATCGTTGTCAACATCGTCATCATCATCATCATCTCCATTGTCATCATCATCATCATCACCGTCTCCGTCGTCATCGTCGTCTTCGATGACATCATCACCATCATCTTCATCCGCATCAACATCTTGGTCATAATCGACATCATCAACACCACAAGTATCAACTGGTCGATTCCCACTGACTAATCTTTGAGGTGATGGTGATTTCTCCCCGTCTTGGCATGCAACAGTTTGTAATTTGTTGTAGTTTGTTACACCAACGGAATTCTTTTGTTGTTGTTGCTGCTGTGGCGGTTGTCGACTTTGCTTCAGCCTTCCAACTGATGACTTCTCCTTTGACTTATGATCAAATTTACCATCTGATTTTGTACAGTTTGTCAATTCAGTACATGATCGACTTGTGGCGTAAGGCAGATTAGTTTGCTTTGCAGGACTAGTTGGAGAATAGATGTTACTATCACCGATGCATTCATAATCATTACAGGCGTTATCAATTGATTTGTTAGAGAAAATATCAGAATTTCGAACATAGATTGGTGAGGAGAGGTGTTTGCTCTAAAAACATATATTTACAAGAAACAATTGAAGACAACTATTCGTTTATATCAATATAGAAATTCAAAATGAGGTTAAAATTCAAGTCGAGATAACATAAAGTGGTGATCTGATAAAGGAAGTGGACCAAATAACTTCAGCTGATCACCCAGCATCTTCCAGTATCTAATGAAACGATCACAACTGTGTTATGTAGTTGAAGGTAATCAGCAGCTTGACGCCTGTTATAATCTACGACAATGTATTTTTGTCATACTGACGTGCATCAATAGGTACGAAGCCCAGATCTAGGGCTAACTACAGATTTCCTTGCACGGCTTAACATTTTCACGATGTTTACTGCGAAGATGACTTATGCAGCTTCACGAGCATGCTGTTAACCGAACTGTTAGAATTCATTCAACGCAAATCTAAAGACAAGACACATCATATCAGTGAATAATCAATGTAGACATCTGTTAGATGTTTAGAGGGAGTTGGAAGGAAGCCTCATCAGCAATGAGTATCTGAAATGTTGAAGGAACTCATTTCCCTCCCCCTCTGCGCAGGGATTCGAACACTGGTCACTCACTGATGCAATCGCAGACGTTACCACCACTGAGCTATTCGGACTCATGATTAGTCACCCGTGGGACTGTAATAACCACTTTCATTAGATACTAGGTAGTTACTAAGGCCTCGATTACACAGAAAGGTGATGTTAACATAATATTAAAATTTATTTATCATATTCCTATTAATATTGATTCTGCTTTACAAGTTCATCTTCTACATACAACTGAGGTTATAGGTAGGAATTCACCTGAAAAAGGCAAACCTGTGTGTGTGTTCACAAACAAATTCGTGCAACCATTTTCCTTACCTTGACAAGCATTTTATTAGTTTATAAGACTGACAATTTTCTCCATTCCCCTATGCCATATACAAGACATCACTATCCTAACTACTTTGTTTTTTATTCTGATTACTGTATCTCCAATTCGCTATTACGTCATCAACCTGGACACTAATTCATTTCTTATTTTTCAAGAGTGGATTTGTAGGAATTTGATTTGTTTTTTCAAGTCTGCTCACAGATTGAAATCAGTTAGAGAACCACTGGAAACCAGCACTAGAGTTCTGAAAAGTCAGCTGTTTCGTCAGCCTAGTTTGAGACTTTTCATCAGTATGCATCCACCACAGGGATTTGAACCCAGGACCTTCTGGTTACAAGGCTAGTGAGCTCGTAGACCATTAAGCCACTAGGACTCAATTCAATGGCCAGCCCATGAATTCTAACTTCTACCAATTCACGCACGACATAGCGCAACCATTTCGGAATGACTTCTTCAATGAGTTACTGTCTCACCTTCAACCTGCTGTACCCTAATGGTCACGGCTTCCCACTAGAACCAGCCAAGGTTAACTGCCTGAATTGGGCCAGTCGCTAGTGAGTTTCAGGTTAATTTTCAAGTATTAGTTTCGTAGGGATTTTGTTTGATTCTTCGGAGGATTTCATCATGAGGTGATATCAGTTAGAGAACTGTTGGGTCATCGGATCGGGTCCCAGTGGCTGAATGAATTGTCTTCGAGATAACTAGTCTTAAAACCAGAAGGTCCTGGGTACGAACCCCAGTGGGTGCGTACTGATGAAGAGTCCCAGACTACGAAACAGCTAGCTGGTGGTTTTCCAATGGTTCTCTAATTGATGTCAGCTCATGATGAAATCCTGCAACCAATCAAAAAACCCTACAAAACCAATAATTCAGATGTTTACGACTAATATTCTATTACGTAAATGTAAATGCCTGATGAGAGTTTACTGAATTCACGTATTTGTTTGCTTAAATCGTCTTCTAAAGTTATTTTAAGGGGGGCGGTGAATACTTAAATTTAAGTTTTGCAGTTCCATACTACTTATATAACTCAGTAGTATATTAGAAATATATATAAAAAGAAAAACAAGATAATAATAATTACTTCACTTCTTGATTTCTTTTTGTTAATTTTAGAATCTTTGTGTTTTGTAGACGATAGGTATACACGTGGAGGACAGGATTTATTATTACAATCGTGTGATACATTTACAGAGGCAGCAGTAGCACTACTCGTAGGAGTAGTAGTTGAAGGCGGTATATTCAACAGATGTCTAGCAGTTGTACTCGGGGAGCTACATTCGTTCACAGGTGATCTCCGTTTATACTCATAACGGTGCTGTTGATGTTGATATTGATGTTGATGATGATTGTGAACTAGCCTAGATTGGGATTTAGCTTTCCGACACTTTACATTGGATAATTTGGTATTGTTCATCTTTTTCTTCATTACAGTAGGACTGTTTAATGATTGATTTTTGATGGAAAAATAATCAATTGATGTTGTTGATTGTGTAATCAAGGAATGACTTAAGGTTAAATTATTCTGTGTATGAAGGGATGAAATTTGTTGAAGTTGTTGTTGTTTACGATTTGTACTATTTGGTTTACTACTGAAGTCATTGGGAGATTTTTGTGGGACTGGTGTAGGTGTATCGTCCAACCTTGATCGGAAATAACAAACAAACAAGAAAATGAGAGGAAAGAGAGAGAAAGAGAGAATATGCTGACCTCATAGTGGAAAACGTGACGGTAAACATGTATACAGAAAGATGAACTTTCGAATACCTTCTATTCTTCATCAAAGATAAAATTACACACTCTATTAGCTGGTTGAATGACTTTCAACTTTCAGATTTTTTCACAAGAATCAAGCAGTTCAAGTTACTACATTCCACGAGGCATGGAAAAGTAAAGCGAAGAAGTATGATGAACAAGAATGTAAAGTAGTCACAATGAGTGGGTGGCGATTGCTAAGCATACGCAACACGTGTTTTAAACATCTCAATCTGTACTTTTGATTGGATACTAGTCAGTAACTACTGTGATGTGTCTAGTCCTTATTGTTTGGTTTGGTGCAGACTAAATTCTATCAGTCAAGTTTGAACTATGGCCACCACTCTAGGTAGCTCGACATCCAGGGGTGTGCATTGATTTCATGATATTAGATGGTCAGTGGTAACGTCTCTGACAGCACTGGCTGGTGACACGGGTTTAGTCTCAGAAGGGACATTAGTTCCTTCAAGGTTGCAGATACGCCTTTCTGACTGACTGGTGAGTGCCAACTAGTACGAAACCTAGGTCAGGCGAGGCTTCCTGTGGCCGATTGCTTCCAACCATCTAATAAAATCTCAATCTATGTGACTTCACAACTTTACCGACTGACTTTCCCCCTTAAGTAAATTGTTACACCATCTAACATAGGAGACAAAACGTGAACACCAATCGTGGAAGACTAGCATCTTCGTAACCGTGTCTCACAACCATAAATATGGACAGAGCAAACAGTTGCACAGTAGACACATCCTTCATTCGATAACTGGATATCACATCTCCGCTAGAGATGCCATAAGTTAGCAAATGCTACACGAGGGATTTTGTATCCATGGTGACATTTCTTTAGCAGTCAATCCACTAGGCCTGATGCAACTCCTCTCCAAAGGCTAGGGGTGATTGAACGTAGCGTACCTATTCTTACATGCATTTTAATCCCTTCATAAAAATGCAACGGCCAACCATTTCATCTTTCAAAATTCAATCGCATTTGAATCTATCCAGGATATTATTGTTTTTGACAGTGCATGACCATTTTGTTGGATTTAGACGTCAGCTATGATGATAATTCATTGGAAATCGAGTGTGATACATTCTCCCAATTGGTATTTGGAGAAAATAAACACACATTGGGATGGTAGAACATATTGACCTTCACCTCTCTTCATTGTGATTTTTGTATTAGTTTTGTACTTGCTTAACAGGCACACTGACTTAGACAAGATTTACCAATCCATAAGAGGAAAATGTTATGCACAAAAAATTCCAACTGCAAGTCAAGGAAAAAATTAATACCGACACAAATAGACTGCAGGGTTTCAGATAAGACCACAGATTGATATGGGTTAGAGAACCATTGAAAACCAGCATGAAGTACTGGATAGCTAGCTGTTTCATCCTAGTTTGGGACTCATCAGCATTACGTACACACCGAGGCTCGAAGCCAGAACCTTCCTTTCACAAACCAAGCTTGTAGACCATGCATCCGCTGAGACCCGCCAATACAATGGCCACCCCGATGAATTCTAACTTCTACCAATTCCTGATTTTAACGCGACTGGCACCAGCCAATGTCATCGCTGACCTGCTGTACCCCACTGGTCACTGTAACCAATCAAATCTCCGTAAACCAACATTTAAAGCTGAATACAACTAACAATAATAGAATTTTAAAAAATTACCTTTTTTCTGAATTTGTAGTAGAATTAACTTGAAATAACAAAGAAGTTTCTTGATCCCATTTAACTTTTGCGCCATCTTTTCAGATAAAATTTAAACAAAGAAAAAAGGCATAGTTAATATACTCTTGGTTATTAATTTAAGCTTGCTATAATACGAATTAATAAAATTGAGGGAGGGGGGAAATAAATTACATTTAGAAGGATGATAGTTCGATAATCAGCTAATAATGAACTTAGTGGGCTCCCCATAGCAGCAACACTATCGATCTTTTGCGGAAATGCTCACTCTCAAATGTAAACTTAACATTGTCAGTACATAAAATCAGTAAATCTTTTATTTGAGACATGGCCATAGGTAATCAGAAATTGGCGTCACTTTTTATTGGACACTAGTAAGTAACCAGTGTGGTGGCGAGCCACCCAGAATGTGGCTACATAGCGAACTCGATAGGGAGAACTGAGTTTACACCAAACAAAGGACCAGACACACTAGTTACTAAATAGTCTCCAACCAAAAGTATCCAGTACAGTCCTACAGTAGGTCAACCGTGAACCCGAACAGCCCAGTGGTGGTAACGTCTCTGACTGCAGGCAGCACTGGCTGGTGACGCGAGTTCGAATCTCAGAAAGGACATGAGTTCCTTCAAGGTTGCAGATACGTCTTTCTGACTGACTGGTGAGTGTGAACAAGCACGAAAAATCTAGGTCAGGCAGATCTTCCTACCGATTGCCTCCAACCATCTAATATCAAAAAGAAATTGTTGTTAGTCAGAGATGTATTCATAGAAAATGTCAACCATCTGCGACTAAGGTACGTTTGTAAATAAAGAATCAACGTCTAAGGAAAAACCGGCTTTGCCCTTTATATCAACATTATGAAGACACTCTATTAACTGAAAAGAACGTCATTATTAAGAAAAGTTTCAAATTGGTGGAATATAATAATAAAAGCAAAAGAACGAAAAACTTAGCAAAGGTGACTTTTGGACGATTTCATCCTCAAAACCTGTAAAATCTCAATTTCATGTATAAGTTTATGTAGTTACAATTATTATTACCATTATTTGATTCCACGTAATAACGAAGGAGATTATAGGTGATGATAATTTCCAACTTGATAGGAATGAAGGTTTGAAGGTGTAAAAGTATAAATCACAAAAGGGATAGAAACAAAGTTATTGTTTCCTTGGGTTCCCAGCGGAACATAGGACTTCAACGACACAATTCCACTTTCTTCTATTATCGGCTGTCCTCCCACTGGGCCCACGATTGCCCACAGTCCCTCATCTCCTCCAACTTGCACAATGTGCTACATGTCACTGTCGCGCTGACGATCTACTCATCTCTTCACATTCGGGCTCCACTGGAACAATAGCTTGGTGATGGCGCGATGTCATTCGACGGTTTCCCCAAAGTGTACCCTATCCATCTCCATGTGCACCTATAGAGTTTCTGAACGATCGGTGCTTGGTCAGTTCGTTACCATAGTTCCCCGTTGCTAATTCCTTCTAGCTGGTTAACCACTTGATCTTAAGTATGGAGCCAGAGAAGGCAGTTGCTAATAAACGTTTGCAGCTGCTGTCGGAAAAGCCAACCAAGTTTTTCAGTCATATAGAAGCCTGACTACTATGGGTAAATTTTATTTTGATAAAGTCTCACAGTGTTATACAGTAATATTTACTGATGACGTTTCGAGCACAATTTATTGCTCAAAATCATATCATATCACCTTGATATGATTTTGAGCAATAAATTTTGCTAGAAACGTCATCAGTAAATATTACTGTATAACACTGTGAGACTTTATCAAAATAAAATTTACTCATAATGGAATTACACTCTACCACAGTGCCCGAGTTTTATTCTTATATCAAAGAAGCCTGACTAACTTGACAGTGGTGTTGAAAATCCAAATGTTGTTCTTTATGCTAAGGAGGAGTGCCGAAGATTTCCAAACTAGTTTAAGGTTGATAAAGGCGTATCTTGACATTCCAATTCTGGTTGGATTTAACATCTTCATTTTTGACGTTGCCTGTAGTTGAAACAATGCTTCCTAGGTAAGTGACAGAAGTAACATCTGTTAAATCTCTACCACTGATGGTGATTACTGCTGTTTGTTGTTCTTACTTTAGGAGGTTGGTAAGTAGGTTATCTTCATCACCTCTGTATTCTCTATGTTTACCTGGCTGCAGTCCTGTCTTCGTTGCCAGCCTCTTCTGCTAATTTGCTGGTTTTCGCCTGTAAGTCTTCGAGTTCGTATGAGTGACATTAAACAGAAGTCATCCGCCGCGAAATCCAGATCTTCCGAGAGTCTTCTTGTCAATCCAACATATTCCTGTTTTCTGGCTCCCTGTACACAGTCTGACGCATAATCCAGTCCACAACAATTAGGAATATCATCGTGGGTGATAATAGGCGCGCTGTCTCGTCTTACTCCTGTATTCACTTCGAAGGTAGGCTCCACTGAGTTTTCCGCTGTGGATCACCGAACACTTGCCATTGTCATAAAGCATACTGTTGGATGAGGTTGATAAAGATATGGACAACGCGCACCATAGTGTTGAAGTAGTTCTTTAAACACTTCGTGGTCAACGCTATCGAATACCTTTTCAAATTGGTCGATGAAAATGTGATAGCGAGAGGTTTGACTGCCATTCTATGCTCCATTCGACGATTGATTATCATATTTAGAGTTTCACTTTGACTGTCAACACATGATTTGCCTTTTCTGAATCCATCTTGTTCCAGTGAGACGGCGGAGGTCTGTATCCCATGCATTATTATAATATTATTATTGTTGCCTTGGGTTCCTAGTGGAACATAGGGCTTCAACTGCACGTCTCCACTTGCTTCTGTCTTCTGCTGTACTTTTCACCTATGTCCATGTTAATCCATACTGTTTCAATTCCTCTTCACACGATCTCCTCCATGTCACCCTTGCACTGACGTTCCACTCGTCACTTCCCTTTCGGGTTCCACTCGAGCAATGGCCTGACGCGCAATGTCACCCACCGGCCTCCTCAGCGAGTGAGTGTCCAATCCATATCCACTTCCTCCTGCATATTTGTTGAGCGATTGGTTGTTGTTTTCTTTGTTCCCATAGTTTCTTGTTGGTTCTTGTTCTTTCCGGCCATCTGATCTTGAGTATAGAGCGAAGACAGTTGTTGATAAAGGTCTGCAACAGGCTGTTGGAAATATATCCAATGCATTTACTGGCTGTAATTTAAACAGTTATTGACACACGTATCTATCTTTAACCTGGAAGTCAGAGTAATTCAATGTCCCATATATATTACAATCCAACTAAGATGTCAATATTTCAAGCATTTGTTTTTTCACTTTCTTATTGTAATTATCTATCTATCTATCAAATATCGTTGTACACTTCAATTCTACTTGAATTTTTTATTTAATTTATTTAAACAAAAAATGAACATTTGTAATGAAACTAGGTCATCAAGTCAATCACCCGTACTAAATGTCAATAATGATAAAATACACGGAAAAGAAAGGAAAAAAATATTTGTCCACTGCTGTTTTAAATAGCAACACTAGAAGATACTTTTATGTTGTTTTTTTTTATGTATCATAAAACTGAAGTAATAAAATCTGCCTTTCAAGTATGTTGTGCACTGAATATACGACATTGATAATCTTTGACATTCTACATGTGATGGGTTTACAATTCAGTTTTGAATGCATAGATAGAGAGAGAATTAGAGAAAGAGAGAGGATGAAAGGTTTATGTTTGCTTACTGCTGATGCCTTTTGATTAAGTGTTATTTACAAATGCATATAAGTAAAATCTTTATTAACTTTATTCAACACTTAACTATATGACAATGCCATGTGTCAGGTAATCCACAACGAGAACCTCGAGGTTTTTCATGTGAATACAGGAGTAGGACAAGGATATCTGTCAGATTGATGAAGGTGTATCTTGCCTTTCCAGTCTACTCTGGCTTTGACATCTTCATTCGTTCCACCTGTGGTTGAAGCGATGCTGGCTGCTTTGATGAGTGAATGAAGTAACCTCTTTCAAATCCCTCCCCCGGTTGATGGTGATTGGCGCTGTGTGATGCTGCTGTTGTTGTCGTTGTTGTTGGTTGGTTATTTTCATAACCTCCGTCTTGTCTATGTTCACCTGGAGTCCTGTCTTTGCTGCCAGCCTCTTCGACCAGTTTGTCGGTTTTCGCTTGTAAGTCTTCGATTTTGTGTGACATCAAACATAATTCATCCGCGAAATCCAGGTCTTCTAGATTCTTGACGTCAGTCCAGGATATCCCTGTCTTCTCGTTTCCCACTGTCTGACGCATAATCCAGTCCACCACAATTAGGAATATCATTGGTGATAATAAGCACCCTTGTCTGACTCCTGTGTTTACTCCAAAAGCTTCGCTGAGTTTTCCGTTATGGATGACTTGACATGTGCCGTTGTCTTACAGCTGTTGAATAAGGTTGATGAATATTTGGGGTATGCCATAGTACTCGAGTAGTTTCCAAATTACTTCGTGGTCGACGCTGTCGAATGCCTTCTCAAAGTCTATGAAGGAAGTTGAGGTAGAGATTTGATTGCCATTCCATGCTTTGTTCGATGAACCTCGTCTAGTTTGCAAGCTGGCTAGTTTTCTAGCCGGTGCCAAGCCCGGGTAAAAAAGGGAGGGTTAGGCGTGGGCCTAGCGACCCTACACCACTAGACCAATCAAACTAATCAACGCACAAGAGGTATATATTAAAAATACGGAAAAATTTAAAAAAAAACTTATTATATGCTGGAATCGGAGGGGCGAAATGATACAGCTGGCTGGTAAAAGCCGGCACACTGAGGCAATGAGTAACTATTGCCATGTCAGCAGTGGCAGCCAAAGCTCTAATGGAGTGGGAACCAATCTCCTCTTGCAGGATCATGACAGCCATAGATGCGCTGACGCCATTGTTGCAAAAAATGATTGATGTTGAATAATGGTATTGTCCATGTCAAGTAAAATAGTAAGTCGCGTCATCCTGGAGAGAATGAAAGATGTGGTGGATTCAGAACTCCTCCATCCCACTGGGACAAGATGGATTCAGAAAAGG